AGCAGAACCGGGCCAGGGATATCTTCAGCCTCTTCGTCTCTCGTGCTTGGAGCACCGGAGCCGAACTGGAACAGAATCGGACCGGACCAGTTGCCGACATCAGCCTCTCCGGTCAGTCTCGCTTTTCACCGGGGGTGCCCCGTGCTGTCGGGTACGGAGGTGACGTGCTGATAAGCGGAGGAGCAGCGTGGAGGAGCAGCGTGGAGGAGCAGCGTGGAGGAGCAGCGTGAAGGAGCAGGGCTGTGTGGTGCTTGAGAGAAGTTCGGAGTTTGTATCGGAGTTGCTGCAGGCCTCCATCCAAACTCACCTGGATAATAATTAATTTTATTTCGGATCACGTTGTTGGCCCCTGTTGACCTGAAACGAGCTTGGATCATGTCTTTCACGTCAGGAGGATTTTCTGGCAGCTCGCTCTGCTATTTGCTGCGAATTATCTGTTTCTGTTTCTGCCTGTTGATTCTGGACCCAGCTTCTGTTTCCCATGGGAGCATCCATCCATCCATCCATCCTTCTTCACTGGGGGGCCGGAGCCCCCCTCTGTCCAACTCAAACTGCAGTTGGGCCAACTCGTCGGGTTTGTTTGCCCATTTGAACTGTGACGTTTTATGGTCTGAAACTTCTCTGCATCATTCATATTACTGTCACCATTTTCAGTTCTCAGATTATCTGGAGTCACTGAATCTTGTTAATACACCTGAATCTGTCCATCACTGCAACTTTCACTGTTTTTGGATTCTGAATGATCGCGTCTTCATTAATGTTTCTCATGGTTCGATTATGGGGGCTAATTGTCACACTGTTAACTCCTGTAATTACACATCAGTCACAAAAAACTCAAGAAAATGTCTGATAATAATGTTGTTACTCCTCTCAGGGATTCAGCCCAACCCTGGACCCCCCACTAATTACAGCACACCAAATGACCTTAAAAACGTGTCTGGGCTTCATTTTCTGCATGTAAACACTCGTAGCCTTCTGAGAAAACTTGATGCTTTGAAAATCCTGGTCAGTTCTTCTGGGACAGATGTTATCTTTATTTCTGAATCCTTGCTGAACAAATCTGTAATGAATAATGATGTGGCAATCAATGGATTTAACATCTACCGCTGTGATCGTCAAAAAAGGGGGGGTGGAGTCATCATTTACATTAGAGATTCTCTCGTTTCTAGTCTTGTGTCTTCCAAAACAATTCCAAACCAGTTTGAAGCCTTATCTGTAAACATCACCTTGAATGGAGGCCAGATTTTAACTGTAGTCTGCTGCTACGGCCCCCCACTGCATCACCTGAGGCATTGGCTGCCATGATGGAATTTCTTGGTAATTTAAAATTCACAGAGGTCTTTTTGGCTGGAGATCTCAACATTGATTGGTGTAAGTTGACCCCCCTCTGTGACAAATTCAAGGAATGTTGCTTGTCTTTTAATTTAACCCAACTGATCAATTCTCCCACTAGATTAAATAAAAACCATCCTGAAAAATCCTCCATCTTAGACCTGTTTCTAACTAATATGCTTCACAAATTCCCTGGTACAGGTGTATTCGCTGATCTTTTGAGTGATCATTGTGTGACAGCTGCTTTGAGAGATATTAAACTTCCACTTTCTAAGCCCAGATTAATTCAAAAAAGGGATCTGAAACGTTTTTGTGAACAGTCATTCCTCTGGGATCTGTCTCACTTTGACTGGCATCATATTCTGTTAACTGATGACGTGAACTTCGCTTGGAACTATTTTCATAATAATTTCATTTATTTTCTGAACATACATGCTCCTTTTCGTCAGTTCAGAATAAAGGGACGAGACAGCCCCTGGTTTACTCCAGAGCTAGCTGACCTCCTGCACAGGAGAGATCATCTTTGGGCTGCAGCGAGAAAATCTGACTCAGACACTGATTGGTTGAGTTTTTGACAGATGAGGAATAAATGTACAACTGCTGTCAAAGCAGCAAAACGCAACTATTTCTTATCTCAGACCTCCAAAAATCTAAATGACCCTAACAGATTCTGGAAAACCATCAAATCTCTCTCAGGCACCCCCCAATCATCTGACCTCCCATCACAACTTCTCGTTAACTCTGTTCCTGTGTCAAATAAGCACGAGATCCTGAACTGTTTCAACAAACATTTTGTTGCTTCTGGTTCTTTATTTGACACAGTTACTAATGGAAGATCAGCCACTTCACTTAATTACCAAACTTCTACAAATCTAATCCCTACTACAAGTCAATCCTCAGTTAATCACAGCTTCTCTTTTTCTCCATTCTCAGTCAGTGAGGTTAATAAACTGTTAAAAGATCTTGATCCTAAAAAATCTGCAGGTCCAGATGAACTTCCACCTTATTTCTTAAGGCTGGCTGCTCATATCATCACAGTCCCTGTGACCCACATCTTCAATCTCTCCATAAGACAAAACTCCATCCCAGACACTTGGAAAACAGCCTTTGTTCTTCCTTTGCTGAAGGGAGGTGACCCCACATCACTGAACAACTATCGACCAATCTCTAAACTCTGCATTTTAGCCAAGGTTCTAGAAAAACTGATAAACTCTCAAATCAAAAATTACCTGGACTCATTTAACATCTTACCTCCACATCAATCTGGTTTCAGGAAACAACACAGCACAACCACTGCTTCAATGAAGGTTCTTAATGATGTTGTTGAAGCACTGCATGCTAAGGATTATTGTGCTGCACTTTTCTTAGACCTGTCTAAAGCTTTTGATACTGTGGATCATAACATCTTGTGTCATAAACTCTCAGAAATCGGTTTCTCAGATCACACCATTGGTTGGTTCTCTAACTATCTTTCAGACCGGAGGCAATGTGTTCAACATAATGGTACTTCCTCCAGTTATTTAACAGTCAACAATGGTGTACCACAAGGCTCAGTCTTAGGACCCACCCTCTTTACAATCTACATACATAATGTAGGTAAAAACATCCCTAATGCATTCATACATTTCTATGCTGATGACACAGTTGTTTATTGTCGAGCTAAAACTGTTGCTAAGGCTTTCCAGCTTTTGAAATCTGCATTCAACATCATCCAGACAGATTTGTTCCGCCTCAAACTTGTCCTAAATGCCGACAAAACCAAAGGGATGCTTTTTTCAAATAGGAAGTTGGTCCCAGCAGTTCTTCCTCCGATTTTATCCTTAAATGGTGTCCCCATTGAGTTTGTTGATTCCTATAAATATTTGGGTATCTTGGTCGACTCACATCTCTCTTTTAAGCTCCATGTGGAAAACTTGATAAAGAAACTGAAAGTTAAACTGGGTTTCTTTTTCAGAAACAGATCCTGTCTAACCCTGAATGCTAGAAAACGCCTTGTATCTGTGACTTTCCTTCCCTCAATTGATTATGGTGATATTATTTACATGAACGCTCCGACAAGAACCCTGCAGATGTTGGATGCCGTCTATCATGGTGCACTAAGATTCATAACTGGCTGTGATTACCGTACCCACCACTGCACCCTGTATTCACTGGTTAACTGGACATCATTAACTTCACGCAGACTCTCTCACTGGTATATTTTCATCTTTAAATCACTTCTTGGTCTGTTGCCTTCATACATCTCCTCCTACTTGTCTCTGCGTGAGTGCAGCTATGGAGTGCGCTCTCAGGACATTATTACCTGCAGTGTTCCCTCAATGAGGACTGAACTAGGCAAAAGGGCCTTCTCCTATTCCACTCCTGTTTCCTGGAATATCTTACAAAAAGATTTGAAGCTCTTGACCTTGACCTCTCTAAGTGTCTTTAAGAATATGTTGGACACCTGGCAGGGTCCAATGCTGACATGTTCCTGTTTTTAGTTTTCTACATTTGTCTTGGAATCTAGCTGTTTTTTGTTTTGTTACCTTTTCCTTTTAGCCATCCTATTTGTTAAAAATAAAAAAAACTGTAGTATGCTTTTTATTTTTTATATTTTTATTTTATAACTGTTTATTGTTGTTGCTGTTGTCCATTGTTGTCATCTTTCTTTGTTGAAATCAGGTCTCTCTTGTAAATGAGTCCTCAAGGCTCAATGGGATTTACCTGTATAAATAAAGGTTGATTGATTGATTGATTGAGTTTAGGGCTCTCTGTTCCACTTCCTCCATGTAGAGATTGGCAACAATGGGTGACACTGGAGATCCCATGGCACAGCCGTGCTTCTGTCTTTAAAAACTGTCATTGAACTTGAAATAAGTGGTGGAGAGGCAGAGATCCAACAGGGTGCAGATCTGGTCTGGGGTGAAGTTGGTCCTGTTGATTAAGTCCTTGTCTTGTAAAAGTTGTTTTCTGACAGTTTCTACTGCTTCAGAGATGGGTATGCATGTGAAAAGAGAAGTCACATCATAAGGATAAGGGACATTCTTTTGAGGATCAAAATGTGCACATTTTGGACCGAGAACACAGGTGGTTTGAGAGGGGGGTGAAGGAAGCAATTTATGTAAAAAGAGAAAAGCTGTCTCTTAACAGAGGAGGAGGCCTCAGATTTCCACTTTCAAAAACCT